GACCCTCCCGTGGGACTTCTCTGACTCCTGCCCAGCACAGATGGCTCCACACCTTTTCCGCAAGGCTTGGTATCGACACACGGTACATGTCCACATGCCTGCTGCTCACTGCACAAAACTGCATGCTGCCCTGGGACCTCTGGCTGCGGTCGGGCTGTCCTGCACTTTCAGGCATGCAAGTGTCTGCAAAGGAGGCCAACATCTTCCTCTCCCAGACAGCCCCAGTCCCTCAGGACAGGCGTTCTGCTCACGTACCTCTGATCTCACAGCACAGCTGGGCCTAGCCAACCAAGGAACAAATAGAGAAGCACACACATGCCATCGGGTGTCCCCTGGCTCGGCAGCCAATTTTAGCAACTGATTATATTCCACCTTGAATTATGCTGCAGCCACTTCTGTGAAATCTAAGCTAATCCAGGGCTGGGTTCATGTCATCCACCCATTTTGCATCCTCTGTGGCATATCTATATCACTAGGCATAAGACACAATATTTTTGCTAAGTGTATAGACTTAAAATTGCAAATGTATACTCTTTAATAGAAAAGGGGCAATTTTGCCTCAAGAGAAACTATTAATATAGTTTTTATATTTTCTGTTTTATACCCTGACCATAACACAAACAGACTTTGATCTCTAAAAACAAATTCAAGCTAATAATAAATGCATTAGACCCACTGGAATGTGCTTCTTATACCCATAGGAAATTAATTACTACTCCTAGTGATGGCTTCAAAATGATTATTGTCAATTGTCTATTGCAGAATAAGGAATCTAAATGTCTTACGCACACCAACCGAACACTGACAACGCACAAACACGTCTACTCCTAGGAGCTGCACCACAGCTGCTTTCTTTGAAGTCATCTTTATGGGAAGACTGATGTTCAGAGGGCTTATGAGTCATGAAAGCTGCCGACCAATTCAAGCGCTGAGCTGTCAACCTGTTCTCTCAGAGACCTCTTTCTCTTACCTGCCACTGTTCTGCCAACACATATGTGCACCATGTGGAGCACACGTCCATGTGTGCTGAGAGCCGTGTGCACCGATCCTGGACTCTAGCAGCACACGGGTTTGTTTCTCAGTACTAGGGATGGAAGCCAAGGATCCTGTACTGCGTTTCATCCCCACCTATTTTTTAAAGGCACATTTTTAAAGCACAACTTGATCTATACTCAGATGTGTTGGGACATCCCATAATCCCAGTACTCTGAAGAACTGAGCAGGAGGATTTCTAAGTTCTAGCCCAGCCTGGTCAATTTAGTAAGACTGTCTCAAAATTTAGAAAGGAAATAAGAGCCAGTAATGTAACTTCGTGTGAAAACCCCAAGTTCAAACCTCTGTACTGCGAAAACCAAACCAGGCTAAAGCAACACAAAGCAAAACAGAAAGGCCTGTGATCTAAATGATTTAGATGGTTCTCCTGGGTGTGACCCTTAGAAACAACATTTGCTTTTCCACCAGAACTGGGCTCTAAGTACAGAGTCAGTGTGTGGGGTAGCTCCTTGCTCTCCTGAAGTAAATTCTACAAATTCTGATTCCCTGCTGTACTCTAATAAAGCAGCTGTGCCAGCCTCTAGGCTGAGTGAGTACAGGGTGGTGAACCTGTGGCAGGCCTGGCACAGTGAGCTATTTGTGTCGCCGGAAGCTCCAAAAGGTCTGCCTTCACTGCATGCATTTTTCAGTATTCTGGCTGAAACAGACATACAGAGTATTCAAGATGCTTCTGTTAGGCCACCTGAAATATTTGTGAAAAAATTTTAGGATGAAATGATTCTAAAACATCTGTTTTTCTCACAGTGAAAGTGGAATAAGATGAATTGAATTTACCCTTTTTTTTTTTGAAACCACCAAAAATGCTCCAGACTGCCCCCCCCCAAAAAAACCCAGCAAAACCCAAAATGGTCACTAAGATGTCAGTTGTGAGTGAGGGACAGTGGCACAAGGGTATAAGCTCTCTAACAGTAGCTCACAGAGACTTCTTAGATACAGCACTAATACACTACCTGTAGAAATAGCAATGATCTACTGAACGCCAGCACCACATCGGATCTTATGTGGCCCCCAAAGGCCCAGGCATGGAGGCAGTAGGTGGTAAGAAGCTTGACAGGTGGGGGCCTCCTGGGGAGTCTTCAGGTGATCGGGGCATCCACTCAAAGGAGGCTGGGGTTGCAGTCTCTTGCATGTACTCTGTGCCCAGCTCCCTACAAGGGAAGCAGTTTCGCTTTCCCACCTGCTCCTGCCACACAAGCTGCTGCACCTCAGGTCCAAATACAATGGGGCCAATGGATCATGGGTGGAATACTCTAGAACCTGAGTCAAAACAAATCTTTTGTAAGCTGATCACCTCAGTTATTTGTTACAGGAATGGGAAGCTAACACTTTTCTTAGCATTAGAAACTCTTGCCCTTTGAAATACACTGATAATGTGATGAAAACAAGCATTATGGATTGGGAGAAAACAACCACAAGTCACACATACAGCAGAAGACCTGAAGCTAGAGCACAGAAGAGCCGAGCAGTCAGAAAACAAGGAGCACATGTCTGGCAGGCAGCTCACCAAGGAAGGTTCAGTGATGGGAAATGAACGTAGAAAAGATGACCAGTCACGACGGAACCTCAGCGAGAGACCACCACACAGCTACTGACTGCCACCACCTCGTGGCCACAGTAGAGGAAACATGCCAAGGCTTAGGGAGGACATGGGGCAACGTGAACTCTCAGACACCTCTTAGGGGAAAGTAAAATTATACATCCACTGTGCAAAACATTTTGGCCTTTTCTTTAAAAAAAATAAAACATATTTAAAATATAGAAAGGCATTCTACTACTTGGTATTACCCCAAGGAAAGGAAAAGCCTATGTCTCTATAAAGACTTGTCCACTATGGCTCAGCTTTCTCTGTAATAGCCTCAAGTTGAAAACGCCAGTATCCATGATGGCTGAGTGCACAAGTGAATTGTGGACCAGCCATATAGGGCCTACTACTCAGTGAAAGAAAATCCCTGAAAAAGAAAATCCTTGAACTCTTGATGTAGGTATTGAAATAGCATGGATGAGTCTCAACATGATTAGAGCCAGTGAAAGGAACTACATAAAAAGGCTCATACATGATGCTGTTCGTGTGAGAAACTAGAGAAGACAAATGAATGTATGCCGACAAGAGCGCCGGGTAGAAAGAACTTGGAGCAGGAGGCACGAGGAAAGTTTTGGGGTGATAGATGTCTGCTACCAGTACTACCTACTTGATAAACAATTATTTGCTGATAGCTCCTGCTCAGAGGCCCAAGCTTACCAAACTGTGCACCTGGAATTCATTCAATTTATCATGTATCAATTATATTATTTTAAAAATCCAAAATGACACTAATTTTCTCTGGAAATTTTTACAGGAAAATCAGCATTTGTGACATAGCCATCTGACCACTATTCACTGTATTTTGTCCTGCACCACACACTGTGCTGGTGCTGGAGACTGATCAGGAGAGGAGGGGCTGCCCCTCAGACCCTGGGAGTGGCCTCTTAGTGTCCCCCTGTGCTGTGCTGCTTGGTGCCCATAGAGTCGGAAAGACTGGAAAACACAAGTTTTAACTTCTGTCTGGTCTCATTACATACAAATTGCTTTACAACATGACTATCATGTGTTGAATAACAACTGGATACTAATTTAGACAGTGCACTTGTGCCTGTCTGTATAACCAAGGAAATTCATTAAGAAAAACCCCACCCCCCCACCCTAAGTGATGTGTGGCTTCAGCATTAAACTTATGGGAAAACGTGGCTCGAGGTGTCCGCCTATTTCCTTCTGGTGGAGCAGGACGAGCTGTTCCCTCAGCCTTGCCTACTGTCACCTCTGATTTCCAAGACTCCTCAGCAAGTCACACTTGCTAAAGCCTGAAGAGTAAGCAAAACCATTTATCACATGAGAGAAATTTGGCTCTTGTTATACGAAAAGTTCAGAGAAAGCAAAGGTCAACAAACATGCAAGGAACTTAGTATAAAATGCTGGAAAATAGTATTTTTTCACTAACCAGCCCTATGCCACTAGCACCAGACAGATCACAGTCTACTGGCAAAGACATCCACAGGATGAACCACCATCTCCATAGGAACCCTATTACAATATTGGTCGCTATGCCCGCCAACATTTTCCTTTACAGGAAATATTTGAAAAATAATTTATTATTCAAATCATATAGACCCTATTTGAATAATAAATTCTTCCAAAGAAAGTATGGAAACTTCAAAAACATGAAGAACTAATTTAGCATGACTGCATACAACGTGCTTCGAGCCAGAACTGCGAAAGCGCCTCACGCAGCGAAACAAGAAGCATATTTTAAATGACGCACAAAGCAAGTTATCCAAATCAATATTTTGTAGAAGCTGCTAACAAATACCTCAACCTCATCTTTAATTAATTAGATTAGAACAAGCTCAGAATCATCTCTCTGTATTTACATAGGACCAGAAAGGTGACTCCTACTAAGAATCATGAACATGGGGTTCAACATTTGGCAAGGATGGAGATGATCCCAGCTGGCCCTGAACCACTAATAATGTTTTTGAAAGATTGGGTTATTAGATTAACAGTTGTAGAAGATGGACATTATTTATGTAATGCTAAAGCAAACATTTTTATTCACCAAATATTTCCTAGATTGTAAGCAAAAATATGAAACTCAATCTCACACCTGTAGCAAATCTGAGGGCCTTCCCTGGTCCAGGGCACAGAGCCACACAAAGCCTTTGTTGTAAATGATTTTCGTGCGAAAGGTTATCCAAAGAAAAATGGCCTGAATCAGATTTAACTATTGCTGCCTCCCACTGAATAATGCACTCCAGCTCTTCCTAAATCCCTGAAAATTCTAAGTTCTCTGGTTTCATTTAACCAGCAGAGAACGTGTGCGTGCGTGCATGCCTTTGCATGCGTGCGTGTGTGCATGTATGCACATGTGTGTTTGTTGGCCCTTCACTTAACAGGAACCAAAGGCTCTACTTACATCATGCATGGAGTCTAGAAGCTTGGTCAGCTGATAGAACCTCTGCCAGCTCTGTCCAGAATTATTGGGACACTTAGTTACCATCTTCCTCAGTTCTTTGATGTAGTTTGTCCTCATTTCTTCAAATGCAGCCTGGCTTTTGAGGCCATCCTTTGGAACTGTGTTAAGGAATACAAACATGAATTCTCAGGATCAAAAGAAGCTTTGGCATCTTAGCAGATAACGCTGACTCTGCAGTTGTGTACTAAATTTCAATTAGCTACAACTATGCATGAACATAGCAACTATGCAGCGCTAAGTACCCACATATATGGCGTAACTACTACGTCTCAGATTCATGTTACTTTGCAAATATTAGCTCAGATGATCCAAACATCAACATTAGAACATAACTGTTACATTCTTCTCATTTTCCAGATGAGGAGCCTACATTGCAGGTCAATTCGTGTGCCCAAGCACAAACTAAATAAGTGGCACAGTGGGGCATTATAAACTGAGGCGTGTCTCCTAAGCACAATATGACATGGCTTGTGGCCTGCCATTGAAGTAGTCTATGAATTCTAATTTGCCAACACCTCAGAGCCAGAAAAATACATTTTGATTTTGCAGGACAATCTGAAGAGCTGCAGACAATCTTAGCTGGGGGCAGCATTAGAAAATGCCATCTTAGGGGCTGGGGAGATGGCTCAGTGGAATAAGCGCTTCCCTGGCAAGCGCAAGGGCCTGAGTTCAATCCCTGGTTCCGAAAAAAAGAAATGCCATCTTTATACCACAAGTTCATTCATCAGACAACTCTGGGGCAGTGGACTTCTCTCAAGGGAAAGATGCTGCATACAGAAAGGCACTTTCCACTCTACCTCTGTACAGGACTCCCTGTGTATGGGGGTGCTGTCCTGTGAGCCCCAGGATGACCTGGAGGCAGGTCTGGGTACTGAGCTATGTTGGAGTAACCCCCACATTAGCTCCACACTTGAGGCAACTTTTAAAATTTTCAAAGAGAACAAATTGGGTAATTTTTTATCTCCCATGAGAGAGAAAATTAGGTACTATGTTTTTTTCCTTCCTTTTGTAGAGTGGCTAGGTTATAATTAAACAAAATAAAGTTCACTTAAAAATATTTTGGGTACCAAGAGTATGAGTTCAGTGGGTGACTGCCCAGTGTGGGTGAGGCCCTGGGTCCCATCCTCAGCATATCCACACCCTAAAAAACAATTCTAGGACACTGAGCCTACTAGCAGGTGAGAGGTGATGCGCTCTTCCAGGACTCATGGGGAGACACATCATCAAGAAAGGGTGCAAGGGAAGGAAAAGTAGGGTAGAAGTTAGACTAAAGTAGCCACTTTGAAAATCGACTTGTATCATTTGTTTTTCAGTACAGCCAATAAGTAGTTATGTGTAGGCTTCAAATCTGAAAAAGATCACCAAGGACATTTTTTTAGGAGAGGAAGACCTAATGAAAAGTTGAGATAGCAGCATTTTGAGTTGGAAACTGCTCTTACTTTTGCCTCTTCACTGCATGTCATATTTGCTACTTTTCTTCGTAACTCATCTAAATAACAGTTTCCTTTGGTTATCAGCACCCTGGAGCAGCTCTGTGCAGTTTCTGAATCTTACTGTAATCCTGGAAGCAGGCAAAACCACTCTCCAAATAAATCCTGTTATCCTAAATAAAGATGTAAGTTATCCTGCACTTTAACTTCAACTATTATATTAATAGTTTTGAGTATAATTGTTGAGACTTTTGATTTGTAGTTTGTTTAAACCTACTTTTCATAGGGGAAAAGTAAATTCCTACCAGTGACTATACAAATTCCTGAGGCTGTATTAGCCATGGTTTTAAATATCTGACTTTTATAATAAGAGTTAGATGCTATTGGTATACAAGGATAATTTTTTTCTTTAAATTTAAAAGCATTGGTTTAAAAACACAAACACAAAGAAGCATAGTGATAACTGACACATTGATAGTAGAACTATAAATTCACATTCTACCCAAATTTTAACAATAACTTAAAACTTTCTATAAGAGATTAAAAGCTTGCAAATAACACCCTGTACTCCCTGTCCACAAATTACCATATATTTATTATAAAACTGTATAAAGGAAATCTTTAATTTGCTAGCACAGATACTTATGTGGATATAAATATATACCTTAAAATTATTTACCATGAAGACAGTGGACAAATGTCACTATTCTATTCCAATATTCTCTGATAAATATCAACTAAGATTAATGAAAGACTTTCCAGTTTCTTTCTTTCTTTCTTTCTTTTTTTTTTTTTAAACAGGGAATCGAACTCAGAACCCTCAGCTTGCCAGGCAGGCTCTGTGCTGCTGAGCTGTTTCCCAGGCCCAGCCTTCCCATTTCTGATGGTTATGTTACCCAAAAGTCTCCAGATTAAAACACTTTGTGTCAAATATTATCACTTACATTCTACTGATAGACCTGAAATACACTGTACCAATTTTCAGCCAGATTTTTTAGAAGTTGAAACAATCCAATAAATAAAGAAAATTTAAGCAAAAACCTCCATTTTTGGAGATTTGCCCAGAATTTCTGAATTTACTTATCAAATGCAGCAGGACTGCTGGAAAACATCCAGAATCTACGGGCTAGAGAAGAGCAGAGGCACAACTGGGACAGAGTTGGTCTGTTTTTCTCTGCAAGCATAAAGAAAATGAGATTCCTTTGATGTCATTACTGAAAAAAAAGTCTTGATATGATGGATGTCAGGTGTGTAATTTTACATTCCTAAACAAAAAAGAACCATTTTAATGCATCCTATCAGATGAGCAAAATAAGCCTACAACAGCCTGTAGGCTCTGTGACTCATGAAATTCTTAGCTACATTTTCCTGCCTTTTAATTCTAGGGTTTTTTTGCATATAAATGTTCAGAATTAAAAGCACTGAGCTACTTGAAAGTTAATAAATTAATGGAGGGAACTTCAAAATGATACCAGAATCTATTAGAGGCTAAAAGACTAAATGGATACAGAAGAATATAAAGAATTAGCAACTCAGGCACTTTTAGAAAATAAGACTTCATTTAAAACTGATCCTTCATTTGATATAACATTTTAAACATCTTTTAAACTAGGAATGGCTTATTTCAGGGTTTGAAAGTGGACTAAAATCATTCTCATTGAGTTGAAAGATTCTTTTTCCAAAGTTATATTCCAGAAAGGAAAAATTAGGAAAGGGGTCAACACCACTAGACAATGGTACAGGAGAAACAGCCTGGTTTTTGTTTGTTTGTTTTTCTTGTCTATCCTCACGATGAGATTCTGGAATCAGAAAAGCTATAGGAAGTGGGGTTGGCACAAGTAGTGAGGAATGATGGGACCTATGCTGAACTGGAGAGTGTGCCCTGCCCTGGGCAATCAGATTCAATGAAAATAAGACAAAGGCCAAAAGCAGCCCTCTGAACCTGTGCTGGCCAAACACAGCACAGCTGTGAGCTGCTGGCCCTACTCCCTCCAGGTGCCCAGGTCACTCCTCTGCTGTGGCACCTATGCTTCCTTCCACTTGCTCTGCCCTGGTGCCTCTCACTGTCCAGGTGTGACTCATTGGCCTGGGATCCTGGGTCCTGGTGGGGCAGGAATCACTGTACATGTGAAGCCCAGAGCCCCTGGCCAGGGCCCTGACTCATGCAGGATGCTAAACACCTAACATTCAGGTGCTTCCTTTTGCCCACTGTACAGCGGGTCTGTCAATCTCCAGAGTTGCTTTAAATGTTCAGTCAGATAATATGGGGAAAAGCTATTGTCAATTGCGAGGTACTCGATGTGAGAGGCAGGCATATTATCCATGGTCACTCCTGCTTCTCTTACCACTACCTGATTCAGGCTCTCTCCACCTCAGACCCAGTCACTCCTGGTTAGATGTGATGCCTCTAGGCATTCCACTAGGTCATCTCGGCTCATGAGGCCGCTTTCCTCAAAAGGACTCTTCCAAAGACTCTAACTTAGCCCACACCTTTGATATCACATTCAGGCCCTGAACATGGATGGGCTAGACACTCTTTTCTACTCCATACTCAACTCTCCCCTATGAAGCCCACTTGCCTTGGCCTCCTTTCAATTCCTCAGTTTCCTTAGCAGCCACAGGATTTGCTTCAGAGTTGTCCCCTCAGAACTGTCTCCTACTGTGGTTCCCGGCCTTGCCCTTCTCCTCTGTGTATGATTCTTTCCCCTCTGTTTCTGGTCTGAGTAAAAGATCCCTCCCAAGGCCAAGCCTGTCCTCGCTTGTGTCCCCTGGCACTTCTGCCCTCAGCTCTTCTCTTCCAAGATCCTAAAGAAGCTTCCCGTCAATCCTCAAGTCTCTGGCAGGCTAGCACCTGCGGGATGCCGAGTGGGCATCTCCAGTAGCTTTCTTGCCCATCTTGATTTTCTCTGTGTAAGACACGCCATTAGTCATATCGCTCTGAAGAAGCTGCGACTCTGACTTCCAAGAGTAGCCACTCTCGCAGGTCCTGCCATGTCTGGCAATTGGTCTCTGTCCCTTCAGCCCCTGCCACATGCCTTTCACAGGACTCAACTGTGCTTCATGTACTCTCCCTTGCTTCATGTACTGGAGTTTCCACTAGAATTTTCCCTCAGAGTAATTTTTATCTCAAATCCACATCCTGAGTTCTAGCCCCACATTCTCTCCATCTTCTGGCCATCTGTTCGTGCACAGAGTTGGCATCAAAAGATCAACCCATCAAAAAAGAACTCTCTCTATACTTGAGATCTTCTCCAACTCCCAATACTGGCACATTTCTGTTGATGTCATCACGACTATGGCTGTCATTTTTCTGTGCTCAAAACCCGCATCATTTCTGACCTACATCAATTTTATTTCTCCTTCTGGCCAGCAGCCAAGGTTGACTCCACAGTGTTTCTTGGGTGTACTTGTCCCCTGTCCACCACGCAGCCAACTGCCATAAATCCAGGCCGCATGTCCACTTCCTGCTTGTCACCGGGATATGTTCTGTCTTTGCCTGTCTCCCTCCCTCAGTCCATCCTGCTGCTAGATACATCCGCATGACGCCATGAGGCACAGCTCTGTTCTGTGCCACCCGCCTACCTAACAGCATTCCAATTTCCCCAGAAGACATCGAGTAATCTTCTCCAACCACCATCCCAACTGTCCCACTTCCTCCTGACCCATCATAACCCAATATATCTCGAAAAATTAAATTAATCCATACACCAAATTGAAAATTAATAGGCAACTCTCCCTTTGCCAAACCAAGGGCCATGGCTTATGTGCGCTTCTCGTGTGTCCCTCTGTGGCACCATAGGCCTCTTTCCACTCTGGACAGGAGGTGCTCTTCCTCCTCTGCGCTGCTGTGACTTTCCTTACCTCTGTTGGTGCAAACACCACTTCTTACACTGCACTAAACTTGCCCTTGAATTTAGCATATGGTATAGGCTCCCAGAGTAGAGCTGCACCACCCCACGCCTTCCTGCATGCTCCGCCAACCATACACGTAACAGGTATACAAGCAGCACGTGGTGGTTGGATGGAAGACTGAGGAGCTACGCTCTTTCATATGCACCCCGCAAGTAACTGTCCACCCCCAGCAAGTAACTCGGTTTGTCAAACGCCAACACCCTCCTCCCATCACTTCAAAATCATCATTTTTGGTGCCAACAACCTGGACACTCTAAGGGCATCTACTTTCCCACAGGGAAGAGGCTCTGTAGTGCGGCTTAGGTGGACAGCAATGTACCTGTGCTCAGGAGAAGCAACACTTTCATTATGGTGTACTCTTCAAAGGTGAGCTGCAGGCGCACAAACTGAAGGCTGATTTGGTGCATCCCCTGGCACAGTTCATACATGGCAGACTGATGCATCTTCTCTCTGCAAAGGGAAAGGGAAACATCTGAGAACATGAAGCTCCGGGTCACACTCAGCCTGGTGGGCCCAGGCGACTGGAGTCCAAATACATCTTTTGCTTCAGCATGGAGCAGATGGACATTTTAAAGACAAGTTAGATGTTTTTCATGGTGATTGGTAAATTGCTTCTAGATCAGCACTGCTGTGCCCTGCCCAGTGCCCTGCACCAAGCTCATCCCTACTCAGTGTATGCCACACTTCCACTTGTGCTGGGAGTCATGCTACATGAGGTCCATGTGTGTCACCACTGTCTGACCCACCCGAAGTAGAGACCCTGCTATGATGGGGTGAAGCTCATGGCCTCTCGCTCCTTTCTGGCCACAGGTTTCAAGCACTGGCTGCAGCACGAGAGGACAGGGCTGGACAGAGGATAGCCACAGCAGTCTCAATTCCATGTGGGCCATCCTTGCTGAAGTCACAGACTACACTGGCTATTCGCCACAATAGGTTTTCAAAAGGAAATTAAACAAAAATGTTCAAAGCTGAAAACACTAGGTGGAATTGCTCTGATCAGCAAAGCAAGTAACACAGGAACCTGGCCCCCTATGTTCATATTTCCAGACATACGTGCAAGCAGCCCCTTCCCTCTGTGATTCACCTACTTCCATAGAAACGAATATATGTGATCATGGAAGCTACTGTTTTCTCTTTCCTTCAGAAGCAAGGTATCACTTTATTTTTTAGATGTTCTTATTCACAGTGAAAACTTGTTGGAAGGCCCTGAGTTACTACTGTTTATGGCCAGACTATATAACATTTTTCTAAAAAAATCTACTAGTGGAAATCAAAGGGAAAGCAGCACCTGGTAGACCAAGGCACAGACCGAGGCTACGAGGCAACGCACTTCTCAGGGTCCCTGCGAGCAGGCGGGTGCTGTGGGAAAGTGATGTTGTGGTCCATCTTCCAGAGCACATTCGGGACTCCCCTGGTGTGGCAGCCTTATGTGACAGCTCCACCCCAAAGGCTATTACAAGGAGCCTATGGTGAAGCACGGTACATTTCGCTCTGAATTATGATCCCATGTCTTTCTCCCATCATTAGCTAAGAGCTCTTTTTACTTGCAAAACTACTTTAAACACAAACAATAGCAGAAACCAAAGAAATATTCTAAGCATACATACATACAGAATACTAAGAGCAGAGGCCTATGGATCTACACCCAGAGCTACCAGCAGGACAAATGCTAACACTGTTGCCGTATGTGCTTGAATATGAGTCTTGAGGCCTACGCTGTCTTCCTCCTTGTTCTGACCCATCTCCTTCTCGTGCAAGGGAGCTCCTCAGTTGGGGATTCTCCTTTCCTCTCAGGGGTGTACACTGTTCTCAGCATGTATCTATAAAGGGCTTATAGCCCAGGCATGGTGGTACATGCCTGCAATTCCAGCACGGAAGGCTGGTGCAGGAGGATTACCCTGTTTGGGCCCAGGTTGGACAACTTAGCAACCTAACAAGTTCCTGTCTCAAAATTAAAATTTAAAGAGACTGGAGGTGTAGCTCCATTGATTCTACCTTAGCCTCACACATAGCTGGGGCCATAGGCACAGGCCACTATCCCAAGGTCCCAATGTTATTCTTAAGAATATTTTTTTGCCTTAAAATTCTTTCTGATCTTAATGCCTTCCCTTCCTTTTCTCCCTCCCTCCCTTCCCTCTCCTTGTCTCTGTCTGTCTTTTTTCAGACAGGGTCTTACTATGCAGTTCAGGCTGACCTCAAACTTACAGTGATCCTCTTGCCTCAGCCTCATGAGTGCTAGAATTATAGGTGTGCACCATCATGCAAAGCTCAGTAAGTTTAGTATTAAAATATTTATACATGGGGATGAGAAGCTACTCAGTGGAATAAGTGCTTACCTGGCAAGCCCAAGGTCCTGAGTGAGATCCTTGTACCACCCCCCCAAAAAAATTATATGAGTTTCACTTTTCCTGATATATACACCCTTTTGGAAGGCTCTGTATATGTCCATGTGTATATGTATGCACGAATGTATATACACACACACACACACACACACACACACATATATATTTCATACTTCAAATAATGAAGAACGCATACTTAAAACTAAAGGTAATCTGTAACTTTTCCATGAGAAACAGACAAAATTTAGACTGCCCAATCTGTGCCTTCTTGTTTCCCATCTGCCATGCTCCTGTACTTCCAAGTGTGCCTTTTAGCTTGTCTGCGAATCGCCAGAGCCGAGTGGCTCTCATGCCTTCACCTGCCGCGTCTGCTTCGATCTAGCAGCAGGTTTCTTTCAGTGCCATCACCCTGTGCATGTCACTCTTCTCTCACTTTCATCCTTGGAGGGCAGTTCAAAAAGTTATAGATTTGTAGCTTGCAGGGAATTTCCCGTGATTCTTTAAAGACAGTTGCCACCTATACCTGGGCCTCCATTGCAGTTTTGGAGGAAATTTTCACTTAGTCTACTTGTGATTCTTTCCTAAGACATCTATGTTTTCTCTTTGGGGTCTTTAACTTTTTTCCCATTTATTTGATGCCTGAAGTTTAATTATGATGTTCTTATAGGTACAGACTAATTTTTACAAAATGTCCATTTTTAATTTGAATATGAAGGTATTTTTCTCAGTTTTGAAGTGTCCTTAGCCACTGTTTCTTTAAATGTCACCTTCATCCCATTCAGGCCATTTTTCCTTTTGAACTCCTATTTGCAGTATGCTGGACCTTCTTGGTGTGTCTTCCACATTTATCTGCCTTCCATATTTCCTATTCCAGCTCTCTGTACTGCATTGTGAGTGTTGCTCTTAGATCATTCAATTAAGTATTTTTTCTTGTCTATTTCTAGTCCACAATTTCATGCTTAGCATTTTAATTTTAGTGGCAACATTTTTCATCTTGAAGAACTTACAAATACTCTCTTTAGTTTTTTTTCTCAAACAAATCTGTCACTTTTCATAAAACATTTATTTCTTCATGGAAAATATACATCCTTATATTGACAGCTACGTGACGCACACATGTTTTGGGTTTTCCATTATCCTGACACATTACCTTCTGGAGGAGCCGCATGAGTCCTGACTTGTGGAAGGGACTCTACTGGGAGCTTTGGCACTTACAACACTCTTAAGTGTAAGTACTTCCCCTGTTCTCATTCATAGTTTTTATGTGAATTTATCAGCTGAAATGATCTTTGGAAGAGTCATATAGTTTAAATTTAGATTGCATACATGGTGTGGTGTAGGCTCGAGTCTCCTATTTCATCCTGCTTCCTGGCATTGCCCTGGCTGCCTGGTGGGCTGAGCTTTACTTTTCCAGTTAGAGGGAGAACTCTTTGCTGAGCCCTGGACTAATGCGAGGGCCTTCATCACAGGCCCCCACGCTTGCTGGGATGTTAGTTTTTATTGCTTTTAAGTTTGTTTTCTAAATCCCACTTGTCTCCAAAGCAGACTATATATGAATCCAGTAGTCTGGGATGGGGTGGGGCAACTGGACCTTTTGTTCTGAGTTAAACTACCCTGGCTAAGAATTCTCTGCTCTTGTGCCTTTTCTCCTTATGAGCTTGCTTATGTACATAAGGTTTTCTTAAATGCAAAAATCTGTGTTTAGAGAAAAAAAAAAGGTTTCAGTTTTGTCATTCTGATTGCAAACTGTAAGCTTCTTAAAGGCAGGATCTGCCTCCAACTAATGTTGAATGTCAAGAAGAAAGTAACAAGTGCTAAGTGTCAGTATTTGCCCAACAAATATTTCATGAATGAGAGAGAAACAAAAGGACAAGGAAATGAACTGAAGACACCTGAATTTGCATATTGGAATGATGGATAAGCAAGACAATACTCACAATTGGCTGAAAGTAAGATTATCAAGTGACCCAACAATTAGATATGACATTTGGGAAGTTCTCAAGGAGAAAGGGAGCTTGGTACTGATTGACTTAGATACAAATGGAGCTAAAGCAAACAGCAAACTCAGGACATCCATGGATCAGTAAAACATCTCTTTGATGTTGCAGTTATAAAAACAGAGTCATATGAGTTTGATTTCTTCATCTATCTGAGCCAGAAGCACAACAGACACCTTGGCTTTGCCACACAAGGGCCTCGCGATGTGCAGACTACACTCCTCTAGTTGCTGGCTTTGTAGCCTGCATTGTGTAACTCTTGACACTCAGGCTTAATAATGCTTAAAGCTGGGCTACTAGCAATCCCAATGTTTCAGAAATATAGCAATTAACTAGGTGGTACTTCTTTAGTTATAAAGTTCATAACAAAGGATTATGTTTTCTTAAACATAATGCAGGGAAAACACTGCTCCCTGAGAGACTGGTGATCAATCTGGTTGAACTAAGCCAAGAGAACATCAGATTCTTGAAATGACAATTCAAGAAGATAGCATTTTTACTGTTCCTGCTTCTCTATGT